TCAACAAGGAACTTCTCAATGAAGCTAACATTGACTAGCCCACTAAACCTCAACCCCTGTCCTCCAACAATATTCTAAAGCCCTCTTACTTCACTCTATATTTTTCCCCACAACATTTGTCATCATTAACATATTATGTAATGTCCTTATTTCTTATATTATTATTTTTAATGTCTCCCTGCTGCAAGGAGATACACTTTAGGAGGGCAGGTGTTTTATCTGTCTTGTTCATTGTTGTATCCCAGTGTCTGGAATAGTGCCTGACTCACAGTAGGTGTTCAATTAAAATATGTTAAATGCCCCAAAGGAAAGAAAAAAAGTCACTTTAAATAATGTGGCATCTTTATTATATTATTAGAAAACTTTAGAAGTAGAAGCAGTTTTAAAATATTGCAAATGACATTTATTTTACCAACAAAGGGAGGTCCAGAAAATTTAAGTGATCTGCCAAAGGTCATGTAGCCAAATAAGTAAATTATGGACTCGCCAGGTATGTTGGCTCTGAGTCAAGTGTTTTTTGCTACATCATAGTTCATTGTACAATTTTAAGGGAAACATTATTTTTATGATAACAGCAGACATTTATTATAAAAAGTCATCATTTAAATTATTATTGTAATTCTAAGTTTATAATAAAGATATCCATGGTCACTTTTGCTTATTTTTTTTTCACTAAGGTTTTTTAAAATAAATGTATTTTAGAAGTTGTTTTACCTGCTGAACCATGAGTTCTAAAGGATCTGGTTGATTCATGTTTATTTCTCATGAAGTTCAAAATATTCACATGTAGAAATTAATGGAACTAAAAAATATTAATATTTAAGCCCTTTGATGAAAATTATACTCTGTGCTTGAATCTTTGCACTTTACAAAATAAAACAGATTTGTTATATGTCTGAAATAATTGCTAATTTGAGGATAAGTTCTGGAATATAAAGATTTTCATGCTGGTATGCAAACATATTCATACATGTTAAAGATATTCACTTAATAATATCAAGAAAATGTGCTAAATTCAAATAAATCATGGAGCTATCGTGTACAGTACTGGAAATATAGTTAATAATAGTGTAATTTATATAGGAAGATAATATGCAAAGTGACTCCTCAGAGTTGGACCAGAGACAGGAAGTTTAATCGCTCACTATGACATGTGCTGATCACCAGGGAGCAGCGTGGAATGAAGGAAGTCCTAGCCAGCCACTGGCACCTGGGGAAGGAAGGCCCCAATCAGTCCTGATTACCAGTCAGGCCTAGGGACCCTACCTGTGCACGAATTTCATGCACTGGCCCCTAGTATTATAATAACTGTGTGGTGAGAGATGATTATTAGACTTAGTATGGTGAGCAGATCATAAAGTATATAAATGTGGAATCATTATGTCATACACCTGAAAGTAATATAATTTTGTACCCCACCTATTCTTGAATTAAAAAACAATCTGCCAAATCATATGTTGTCAGGGCTTATAGCTAGGTACATTAGGAAAAAGTATTCAATGACATATTGTATGGTCTTTCCATGGGGATTTCTTGATATTCTTTTGAAGACATAATATATATATGACATGCAATAAGATGAATGCATACACAGATGGTTAAACACACATTCCCAAAAAGCAGTAATTAATCAGTATATTTCAATGCATACAGTTTTTCTAGTGATGTTCCTCAAAGAGCTATTTTTATTTCTGTTTTCTCATCATTTTTATCTATTACTTCTGTGAATGGACAGAAATATTTATAAAATGTGAATAAAATAAACCTAGGTAGGACAGTAGATGTGATGGATGAAAGAAATAGGTATTTATTAGAGTGAACTGAAAAGTGTATTATGCTGCAGTCATGGGTTTAGAGATCAATCTTTTCAGTAGAATTGAGATAGACTGTGTCTTAATCTCCTTGTGCCCCTACTATTTCACAATTTCTAACACACAGGGTGCTTATATATTACTTGAATCTGGAGACGCCGGAGAGATAGGCCAAATTTAGCAAGATTTATGGATATCAATGGACTTCATAGTAAAATGTGGCGGTAAAACTAGCTAATGTGAGTTGAGATATAATTAATAGAATTGTATCCAAAAGGAAGAAGGTGGTGCTCCTGTGTCACTCTGTGTTCCGTGCTACTGCTTTGAAAAATGACACCAAAAGTGTCAATTTAAAAATGGGCATGATTGCTTTATGATATGTTACGTGATAATGTGGAAAAAGGGAAATAAATTTGTCCTTTTTGGTGTAGAGAATTAGATCTGGGCCAGTGGATAATGTGAAAGGAAACACATTTCAATCAACATCTGGAATCTGCCACTCAAAAAAAAAAAAAAAAAAAAAACAGGTTTTCTATCAGTGAAGATGTGTATCACAGGTTAGGTGAGAATTGGCAAAGACACTGTAGGTAAGCTTCTTAGCATAATTTAGAAGGTTTAATTATAGACTCTTTTAGAAATATATTTTATTGATTTATGAGAGGAAGGGAGATGGGTAGAGATAGAAACACCAGTGATGAGAGAGACACATTGATCAGCTGCTTCCTATACCCCTGCTACTGGGGACCGAGCCCACAAACTGGGCATGTGCCCTCTCTGGGATAGAACTGTGACCTGCTGGTTCATAGGTCAATATTCAACCACAAAGCTATTATACACTAGCAGAGTTAATTATAGAATATTTAAGGGCACACCATAGCCTAACATTCTGATATTTTCTGATTTTATCCTGAGTCTTTATTAGGAAATTGAAGTCATGTGGTATTATACATACAGTAGATGCTTATAAGCATGTTTAAGTGTATAAAAAAATAAAAGGACCATTTTGTTCATTAAAAAAACATGTAAATACATATGACCATGAATGTTGGAACCAGTTACTCTATTATTTGTGTTGAGAATAGGAGAGAAGCTTTTACTTCTTTCAGAACTATTGGCATTAATCCTCAGGGAAAAAAAGTATGAAGTAAGACATATGGTAAAATCCTGGATCTAAAACAAATGAAAACACTTCCCTTCAAAACCACAGATTTAAAACACTATTAAGTACTCTGTAAAAGGAATATCTAAAACTTGAAAAGAAAATTGCAGGTTAGAGAGGTCCTAAAATATGGATAAAGGGAGCAACAATTTGGAATACCATGACCATGTTAGATATACACTAGCAAAACCAACACAAATTATAGCTAAAATGTAAAAATAAAGGCTGGTGACGAAGAAAGAAAAACAGGCTGTCAAAGGGTGACTTACTCTATGAGATTTCAAAATGTATCTCAAATAAGACATAAATTAACAGAAGAAAAATTCCAGAAATTGAATAAAAATGTTTGTTGAACTTAATATATAAAGAAAAAAAAACAAAACAAAACCTACACATGAGGAAACAAATCACTAATAAATGATGTAACAAATGGCCATCAGAATGCATCATATAATACATTCAATAAAGTATAGATCATTCAGATCATTCACTGACTCTACATCAATTAATTGTAAGAAAAATAAATTAAATGACTTTTCTAACCCAGGGATGGGCTGGGCATAAATTTAGGGCTATTTGATAAATTAACTTTATGCCTTGAAAACCCATCAAGGGGCAGAACAAGTCCCGAAAATGGATTATGCTTCCTTACCTCCTTTTCTAGAGCAGTGTCTGGGTCATAGTTAATAGTCAAGAAATGCTCAATTAAAGAAAATAGAAATATATGATTTTTATCATATAAATTATGACAAGCTTTCATTCTGATTCATGTAAAGTTATGAATCTGGATTAGATTCATTAGCTAATGAAACTAACATTATTAATAAAGAAAATCCCCATTGACAGTTAAACCAAGGAGGTCTAAACATAAAGAACATTAGTGTAAACTATCTACCTATGTCAATGTACATAGAAGATGAGGACTATCTATAATATTTTTTTTGAAAGATTGATGTTTCACATAATTAAACCCCTGATGAAAACGGGACTAAAGAAAAATCAGGAAAACAAGTTGGAAAAACAAATGTAAAGTATAAGCATCCATATTTTCTTATAGCTCATTTTCTTCAAGTGAGAGGAAAAGCAGATTGCAGAAGAAGAGTGCAGGGCAACACTGTTTATTCTCTCCAAACACTTAACACATCTAGCAAAAGGGCTGGGGCAACTCTCACAGTAGTTCTTATTACCATAAAACCCCCACAGATGTTTGTCTTGTTTTTTGTTGTCAAAATTAGTCAACTTATCTAAAAGATTTAAATAAAAAGCCATTTATAGAAATATAACTATAATTGAAATTTTGATTATTATATTTGTTAGTCAACCTACTAATAAGCCATAGTTTTCAAATTATTTAATTATATACCTGTCTATCTATAGACACACACATTACATACCCACAGGTGTATGCATACATATATATGTGTGTGTGTGTGTGTGTGTGTGTGTGTGTGTGTATAGGTGTGTACATGTATCCATAAAAATCTATACTTTCTGATATATCTGATATGTCTTTGGAATAATTCACAAACATATTATTCTTATATGGAATCAGACATTCTTATATCTTTCTGAAATTATTCACAAAATAATATCCCCCAGAATGAGGGAAAAAAGCATTTTATCTATCATATTGCATTCTTTTCAGGAACCATTATGAGATATTGTGTCCTGATATCTCTTGAGGCCTCTAAGAGTTTTAGGATCAGATGCTTGTTTTTCTTCCTAATAAAATTTTGTAGGAATGCATAAAAGTAGATTAAACTATGTCAGATTCTTTAAAGGAAAACACTGTTCTTCTTTGACAAGGTTGTTATGTAGCAAAAAAAAATGAGCATTGCAAGCAGTTCTGAAAACACAACTGAGATGCAATTTGATAAGTAGCCTTCCATCATCCAAGCCAGAGCGGTGGAAAAGCGTGCTATCAGCACTTTCATCAAAGGCACTATTGACTCTTCTCTTTCTGTCTCATTTTATCATGACTTTCTCATTTTGTTTACTCAGTCAGTGATTGGAGAGAAAAGATTCCTTACCCCTTGGACGAGTTTTAATGGAGTCCACGACAGAAAGGTCCTGTTCTCCATCTCTGCTGTCACCGCTGTCTTCACTACCACCATCACTTCCAATCAGTTTGTCCACCATAGCAATAATGCAGTTCAGGCTTTTCCCCACGTTGGCCCACACCCTATCCTGAAAAGAGCATGAGTATCAATACACATTTTTTATTGCAAAAAAAAGATAAGGCAACATCTTGATTCATCATTTTAGAGAAGCAAGTAGAGAAACCATCATGACAATGCAGACTGACTAGCTCTAATACCCTCATTAATTTGGCCAAAACATGGATACACAAGAAATATATTTTCTCTTAATAAAGCAAAATTTAAGTGTTATAAATTTTTTTCTTTAGTTGATTATCTTTCTCTGTCATAAAACAATTATAAATTACCATACAACATTAATCCACAATTGAGCTCAAACTATGAAATTTTAAATTGGATATAACATCATTTTCTTATAATTTTCCTATCAATACTTAGTAAGAAAGCAAAGACATAGCAATATTTTTATTTTTTTAATTTATTTAAATTAATTAATTAATTTTATTTTTACATTTTTTATTAAATTATTATCTGTGTACATATTTTAACATTGCCCCCCCCATACATACCCTCCCTCCCCAGAGTTTTGTGTCCATTGGATGTACTTATATGCATGTATACAAGTCCTTCGGTTGATCTATTATCTCCCCCAGATCATAGCAATATTTTTAAAGAATGCCCAGCACTTACATTAGAAATTCCTGTTTTTCTCTTTATATTTTTATAATACATACACAAAAGTTTACCATTTTTACAATGTTTAAGTGTACAGCTCAGTGGCATTAAGTATAATATATTGTGTGACTATCACCACCATCCATCTCCAGAACTTTTGGGCCTTCCAAAATTGAAACTCTGTACCCTTTAAACATGAACTCTTTCTTTCCTCTTTCAGCCCCTAACTGCCATCATTGTCCTTTATGTTTCTATGAATTTGTCTTCTCCAGGAAATGGAAGTTCCTAAAGTATGGTCTCTAGCTAATGGGAATGAACTCTGCTATTGAAGGAAAAGGGGGAGAGGGTTGCTCATTTTCCAGATTGGCTTTGTAAGTGAGATACATTTTCAGCTCTCTTCTATTTTTTTTTTTAATCCTCACCCAAGGTTATTTTTCCACTGATTTTTAGAAAGAGTGGAAGAGAGAGGGAAAGATAGAGAGAAATATCAATGTGAGAGAAACACATCATTGGTTGCTTCCTACAGGAGCCCTGGGCCAGGCAGGAGTCTATAATCAAGGTAAATGCCCTTGACTAGAATTGAACTAGGGACTCTTTAGTCTGCAGGCTGACACTCTATACACTTAGCCAAACTAGCTGGGTAGGGGTCAGCTCTCTTCTTGTTACTCATGTTGGGAGAAACTGAATTTTTATCAAAAAGCAAGCAATATTGAATGCTGCTTTTCTTCCTTCTTTCCTCCCTTCTTTCCTCCCTTCTTTCTTTCTTTCCTTCCTTCCTTCCTTCCTTCCTTCCTTCCTTCCTTCCTTCCTTCCTTCCTTCCTTCCTTCCTTCCTTCCTTCCTTTTTTATTCTTTACCTGAGAATATGCTTTTTGATTTTAGAGAGAGGAAGGGAATGAGAGAGAGAAACATCATATGTGCCCCACCTAGGAATAAACCTGCAAACTAGGTATGTGCTCCGACTGGGAATCAAACACACAATCTTTTGATGTATGGGATGATGTTCCAACCAGTTGAGCCACCTGTCCAGGGCTGCAAGCTGCCTTTCTTCTTTTTTTAAAAAACTACATTTATTGTTGAAAGAATTACAGATGTTTATGTAAAGTAATACAAGAGATGGGTCCATTTATCTTATTCACATCTCTGAAAAGCGTGAACAGAAGATGATTTAAAAGGATAATTTTACAGTCTATCCCTATAGCTACTCTACTTCCTTTACTTATATCTCACATGATAGGATTCAATTGATATAAAAAGTAGCCTTTGCAGCCATTAGAGAGATCTTTATTGACATAAGGAACAGAATCAAGCAAGTTTATCAATCAAGACCAACAACCATATACATAGTAAAGAGTTATATGGCAAATAGTAGAAAAAACATTTAAGTCATTAAATGCTTAGAGGACACATAAGCTGGGAGAGTGTTTGTTGGGGGTGAGAAATTGAGCAGTTTCTTATGCACAATTCATGCATAATCAGATAATCCATTAAAGATACACTCATTCTATTCTTTTCCCTTTGGGGAGAATATCCTATCTAGCTCATAGTGAGAGAACTCTGAACTTTGCTGGTCATGCTTCCTTCTCTTTTATGGCATCTAAATAGTATATTAAAGTTATTTATTTGGTATGCACTTCTGTCTCTAATACCAGATTATAATTTATTTGGGACCTGTGTCCTCAATATATTGCACAGGGTCTGGAAGAAAGGCAGAGAGAGAAGGAGGAGGGAGAGGAAGGAGAAATTCAGCATTCCTTAACTGATCATCTTTTCTAGATCTATTTTTTTTTATCAGCAAAAATGTGAAAACTAAACCAGAGCTGGCATGGGGAGTCCAAAGTAGCCCTGGCATATCTATATCTCTGTGCACAATTTCCCACTTGTCATTACCAATTTCTGAGGACATTGATTAGAACAGACATATGGATTAGCAGGGCCAATCTCCATCTTTAAAAAGAAGCTTTGGTGTATCCTTGATTGAATGCAATTTGCACTATATTGGCCTTGCTCAACATAGCAAACCTGTCTTATTTTAATACCTTGATAGTTATTTTCTCTGATCCAAAGTTTACAGAAACTGCTAGATGAAAGGAGATGTACTTAAAATACTCCATGGCACAAACTGCAACATATATGCCTCAAGCTATGTAATACACACACACACACACACACACACACACACACACACACACCATGTCCACTAAAAATTGGCATACATTTGACATCCATCAGAATTAAGTGAGATTTCCCAGTGTTTGCTTCCTATTGATCCTCCTGCTTAACTTCACTTATTTACTTATGTAAAAATCCCTTCCTTTCCAATAACCACACTGCTGGTCTTATCCCAAAATTCAGCCCTTATTTACACAGTGGATTCAGATAAGCAGCCAGTTTCTCCAGTATTGATCTCTCTACATTCCCGTGGTTTGGACCCAGACCTATATATCAGCTATCACATAAACAGGTCTACACATGAGTGCCACATTTATCTTCATTAATTACCATGTTCAAGTCATCAGTCCTCTGGTCAAAAGCAGGCTAAGCACTGCAGCTAATCTTCATTCTTCTCTTAGCCTAGAGTCACCTCTCTAGTTGAGTCAACCTAGAAAATTCTCCTTATTTCTTGCTACTCTGAAAACTTTACCAGGTCAGGCATCTTGCTCTCCTAGCAACATCCTATTAAATAGCTTAACATATATTTTCTGGGCACCTACTGCATGCCTATTAGTGCTGATCATTGGAGACATGAAGGAAACCTTCGAATAATGTATATTTCTACCTGGACACATGATGCTTTTTATGCTTTGAATACCTTCCTCCTTCTCTTTCTTCAACCCAAATACTAACTTTTTCAAGTCCCACCACTTCCAAGAACTATCCGTGCTACCCTTCCTCTGCTTAATGCATTTTTGCTGTCTGACTCTATGAGGGAAATAACTATTATTCATTAATCCTTTTATTCTCAGGTCCTTAGGTGATGAAAGAAAGAAAGAAAGAAAGAAAGAAAGAAAGAAAGAAAGCAAGAAAGCAAGAAAGCAAGAAGGAGGGAGGCAGGGAGGGAGGAAGGGAGGGAGGGAGGGAGGGAGGGAGGGAGGGAGGGAGGGAGGGAGGGAGGGAGGGAGGGAAGAAAGAAAGAAGGAAGGAAGGAAGGAAGGAAGGAAGGAAGGAAGGATGGATAATAGAAGGAAGGGTTATATTTTTTTTTCTAACTTTCATATAATTTTCTCTGTCTCTGTTCATCATTTTAAAAAAAATATTTCAGAGAGAGGAAGGGATAAGAGGAAGAGAGAAACATTTACGAGAGAAACATTAATCAATTGCTTCCCACATGAGCTCCAAAACAGGGGATAGCACCATGGAGGATAGAACCAGCAACTGGATATGTGACATGATGGAGAATTGAACCCGCCAACTTTCAGTATATAGGATGACACTCCAACTAACTAAGCCACACTGGCCAGGGATCTTTTCAACATTTTTTATGTGTATCACTCAACCACCTCTATTCTGGGAACCTTAATATATTTGCTTGTTTTATGAGTGATGGCCATTTACTTGAATACTTGAATTAGATGATATGGTTGTTGAGATCAGAATCCACATTTTATAGTTACGGGTAATTTGTTTTCTCCCAAGTACCTATAGCATTGCTACACACCACTGGTGCTTAATTAACATCTGTTGATTGACTGAATAACTAGCTACTTAAGAATAAAAAGAAATTAAGATACAACTTTAAGTATTACCACATCTTCAAATTAAAGTTATAATTAAGATCAAACTCACAGGCTGAGTTCACTCTAATTAATGCCACATCATGCTAAAGCTTTCAATTCAGGAAAAATATTAAATAAAGCAATTATTTAATAAAAATTTTTCTACTGATTGGCTAATGCTTTTAATGTTAAGTTGGTAATTGGTTGTTATCTGTATATCATTAGATAGTTGCACAGTTGAATTATATGACAATATCAGTCAGTGTGCTACATACCACCAATTTCCAGGATTGATTTTTAAAAAAATGAATGTACCCCAACATATTAACATTCTGCCTGTATATGCCTTAGCATTTCTTTTAACAATTCATTAAATTTGGGGTATTCAAAGATTTCTATTTAGGAAATAATGTCTGACTATTCACATTAAAATGTATTAAAGATTAAGGACACTTGATTTAATGTAATCATATATTTTTAAAGTATGTATATAAGTTTGCATATTTATTATTCACTGGCACTTCAAAATATTTGACATTGAACCAGGCATTATAAAAATCAGGAAAATATCCAATGAAGAGGATGATATCTAACATAAAACCACAGGAAAATCACCAATTCATTAACAAAAATAAAATATCTCTGTTAAAAACTTTGGTTTGAGTTGAAGGATGAACTGCTGATTCTGCAAATCCCTC